ATTTATTTATTTAGACATGCATATAAACATATACACAAACAACTTTCACACACTACTTTGATCTATTGGTTTGTGATCAACAGCATTCTCTATTTTTAGACGCCTCATCACCTGGTGTTTTAACACTGTTGAGGTCGCCGGTACTGATGACATCTCCCAGTGATACAAGCCCTATTCAGTCATTTAGAATAAGGTTAATGTCATCTTATGTGGAAAGATAAATCTCAAGAGGAAATCCAGAATGGTGGAAAAGTGAGTTCAAGGAGGAGGGTCTCCATGTGAACTAGATTTACAAGGGGTCTGGCTAGAGATTCTCCAAGCACAGAACAGGCTATCTTTAGAATGGATGCCTTTTCAGGAGCAAGGCAATAAGGGCAGGATGTAGAACTCCTGTGATCTGTTCCTCATGGATTTACGCAAACCTAACACTGAAGCCCTGGATAGGCTTGTATGTATGAAATATGCATAAGTGCTTGTGTGTACCCACGTGTGTGCCTGTATCTGTGTATATGTGTGTATCTGCAGTCCTGAAATCACTCTAGCCAAAAAGCTATGAAACATATCTGTGATTATTTGAACTACCATACAGTTTGAATTATAACTGGCTATTGTAAGAAGAGAAACAGACAGTGTCCTTTATTATTGAAGACTTGCCTTTGATTTTCTGAATATTGTTAGAAATATTAGATTCCATTACAACGGAGGTCTACCTTGGCCTTTTCCCTCTAATAAGCTAAAACTTCCATTATCCTTTGCAGGTGACAGATTTAAGATTCTTCAGACAAACGTACTTGTCCCCTGACCTCACCCAATTCCTGTATGTGACAGCTGATGCTAAAGGGTGTTACATTAATTATTGCTATAGAGCAGCTTTCTCCACCTCCACCCCCAAGACACAAACTCGTCAACGCATAAGAACCTTTCCATAAGTGTGGATTTTTTTTTCCATTTAGAGAGACATCACATATTAATGGAACACTTATTACAAAATAACCCAAAGGGCATTAATGCATCTAAATGAAGTTATTGTGGAACTCATCTTTAATAAAGCCCATTGATATCTCTGAATCAACACCAGGCAATCTCATGAGAGGAGCAAAATTCCTACACAAGGAGGTCATGGCTGCTTGGGAATTATGAGCGTTTTTCTGTACTAGTACAAAAAAAAGGGGATAATAGTATTTGACCTTTTTGCATGCAAATGTTCAGTACAGGATTTCAAAATACAATGTCTGCCAAGCACTTGCTTGGGAACCCATGATGAGAAGGGCATTCTAAGTAACCAAGATAAATACAGTAATTGCACTTTGAAAGTAAGTTGTATTTTGATTTTGCACAGAACCTTTACTACTTACAGATGTAGAGAAACACAGGGAAATGAGAGGGAGAGGAAGGGATCCTTCCAAGGTTTTCTTACCTATCTGTCCTCTCAGAATCCACCATGCACTGCTGGCACATTTTCAAGTCTATCAATGTAGCCATTTGCTTCCTTCAATACTACAGTTCCACATAAGGAAGTGATTTTACAATACACATGCCATAAGCACCCTGACACCTGCTGGCTTCTCTCTACAGTGGGGTCTTGACTTAAGAACGGCCCGAGTTAAGCACATTTTGACTTAAGAACCACTCTCTCAGGAAAATATTGACTTGACTTACATACTTAGATTGGAGTTAAGAACTGAAAAAAACCACGTGGGAGGCAGGGAAAGTGCAAAATTTGAACTTTCAGTTAACTGTTGGGCAGTGAAAAGGGTGCCTGTCTGCTTCCTCACTCCTCCCAGCGTTTAGAGAGTGGATTGGGAGACAGTCTTCAGACTGCCTGGTACTGTACTGCCTGGACTGTATTTTCCCTGCCTTCCCTGAACCTTTCTTGACCTAAGGAAAAATGAAACAAAATATCCCCCTCCAGTGGTCGAAGGCGGAATAGCAGCTTCCCGTCTATGGACGGAAAAGAGCAGATACGGATCAAATGGTTTTCAATGTATTCCTATGGGAAATGCAGATTTGACCTGAGAACTTTTTGACTTGAGAACCGCCTTCCAATACGGATTAAGTTCTCAAGTCAAGACCCCACTGTACTTCTTTCTTCCAACAAACGCAAAAACAAATATTGTTCAACCTAGGACGTCCCTGGGATATGACAAGTGATTTTATTAGATATCGCTGTACTCTGCTAGTTTTTTTTTAACCTAGCTCATTTAAAGTTCAATGTGCAGACCCTCAAAATGTTACACAGAAACTATTGAATCCTCAAATAACCATCATCACCTAAGGAGGCACAGTGGGGAATCGAACTCCCAGCCTTTGGCTCTGCAGCCAGGTACCTAAACCATTGAGTTATCTAGCAGTTATAGCTAATTACATTCATTTTGGATAAGAGCAGTGTGAAAACAAAACTGCAAAGTCACTGACTTGGATACATGCAGTTCAGCCATTTTTTTGCCTCACCAAAACCATCTCTGCATACTGGGGCAGGGTATAATTACAGACTAAAAGTGGGTCAGATGACACAGGAATCCATTACCTATAAATGGTTTTGCACATTTTAGTGTAAAGCTACAGATTCAAGTGCTCAAGTTCTATAGGTGGTCCTCTGTGTTGTAATAGCACACATACTATTAGCTCCACCATTTTTAAAATATTTTATTGTTTTTTATAACATACATACCTGCAAAGAAAAAAAACCAGAAATACCTACAAACTAATAACACATAAAACTAACAAAACATACAAGACTAACAAAACATACAGGCGAGGAGGTATTTCCCATACCGGCTAATCTATTATATAAATTCTGACTACATAAATAATATATCCATGTGCATCTGCACATGTTATATTCCACATCCCTATTTTGTGTATCTGATTAAATATCTAACATCCTAATTTTATAATAAATTTTGTAAATTCCCTCATCTGCATTTCCATCCATCTTACTCTCATCATATACATTCCTCATTTCCTCCACCATTGTTTCATGCTGCTATCTATATACTGCTTTCTGAAGAGAAATTGATTGATTGATTGATTGACTGATTGATTGATTGATTGATTGGAAATGTGATTCTGGGAATCGTCATCCAAAAACGTAACATTCCCAAACTTTGTCAAAAACTTGGCAACAATATCCTCTATAGGAAACAGATAGGTTTCCGGAGCTGCTTTAAGCATTAAAGCAGCTCCAGAAACCCATCTATTTCCTATAAAGGATATTGTTGCCAAATTACTGTGAAGCTTTGGGAACAATAATAACAAAATACCTGAGAGTTTTTGACATTTATAACTAACAGTGGAGAATCTTTCTAGTGGCCTTCAACCAGACCCTGTAGGAAAAGCGCATATTTGATTGTGTCAACACCTGACTTCACGCTTTCTCTAACACTTCAGTACAATAAAATACTCACTCCACTGGAATTAGTTCCTCAGCAAAGAAGAGCCAAATGTGAAACACAACAAACAGCTTAATGGACACAACGTAGAACAAACTACATCTTTTATCAGGAGGAGACAAGGGGACATAATTAGTGTGCCTGAGACAGAATACCCATTAAACAAAAACCATGAAGTACAGGTTGATGAGCTTAGTTTTGGCATTGATTCTGGGGTTATTGTTCTCACTGAATAAATGACTGGCTTCCAACACACGAAACTACTTACTTATTTATTTGAAGGATACCTAAACAGACGTTCTATGCTGTAGAAAAGGATGCCACAGTGTCACAGAAACATAGTCATGTAGAGTAAAAGAGAAAGTGTTCCAAATAACAAAAATAAAAGAACACACCTGTTTTAGAGAGGTTAACTAGTATCATGGTGGATTGTTCATGAGCAAAATGGAAGCCGTGGAAGTGGCTATAGCTATTTGGTGACGTGGTGGTTGCATGCCTGCCTAATGCACCAAATGACTGCGCTCACACCCATGATTTCTCTTCCACGCAGAGAAATCCAACAGACTACCAGGCACAGTTTTGCATTTATAAATAAACAGGAGGCATTCTGACTTTTTCCTCTGGGAGAACTGGATCAAATTAAATATCATTCGTTAACAATGTACCAATACATTCCATTTCCTAATAAGTGTATTATCCTGAATAAACTGGCAGAGTGGAGCCATAATTATAAATATAGTTTCCCCAGCTGAAAGGCCATTTTAGCTTACCTTTCATTTGTTTATTATAAACACCATACTCCACACTATTTAATGGCCAGTTCATGTACCATGCATTTTAAAATTCTATGGCAACACTGGAAAGAGAAGCGATATCTCAACCATGGTGGAAAAACCATCCTTCCTTTAGATCATTTTTGTCTGCTGCATGAATTGTATAATCTGACTCACATACAGTACCTCTTGTGCAAAGGACTCCGCTCATTTCCGCAAGTTTTGCTCCAGTTCAAAGTTGACCTGTAGTTCTTCATATTCTTCTACTGCCAGTACAGACACTATTTAAAGCAAAAGAGAAAACACAACAAAACACACCACAACACGACACACAGAGCGACACACAAGGATGAATAATAAGAGATTAGGAAAGTAAAGTAAAACAACACGTTTTATCATACCACAAAACAGGATTATAACAAATGATGGCTTTGTACACCTGTAAGAATTTGAGAGAGATTATCCCCTTGTGGTTTCTGCAGGGGAAGGGGACTGTGCAAGATGACTCCTGGTGTCTATTTCAACTCTAAAACAGACTCTATGGCCAAAATCTTTGTTCATATATATATATTTCATAACTTTTGGAGATAAATTGCCAAAGTTTTTTTTAAAAAAATCATTCATAGCCATTTGCACACTGAGCCATACAACTCAGCATACAACTAATAATGTGTACAGTGATTTCATAACTTGGGGCAATTCACTTCCAAAAGTTACACTAGTTGTGCTACACCAGTGTAACTAGGTAGAAGGGCTTCCTTATCACCAATGGCTTCAATACTGCATTGACTAATGCACAACCATCCAAAAACATGACTCCTTCACATTGAGGGATGGGACTCTCTCTTGTCTTTTAAACGTTAAAAATCAGTGCAGTGTTAGCTGCAGTGCTGGGAAAGGAGATCAAGAAGTAAACCATGATCTGTAAATTGTGAGAAACAGGAAAATTATGTTGAAATATAATCTTGAGATGGTTTTCAATTGCTTTGGAAAGAGTGTGCAGTCCTAATTTTTTTTAAAAAAATTCAAACTGAACTGAAAATTATATATGATCTCTATTATATAATTTTTACATTTTTAAAAATTAAAGATTGTTCTATTTTATAGATATGCTTGTGTTCATCCTTATTTTTTTCTTCAACAACAATGCATCAAATGCTTTTTTGTCATTTTCTGAGATGGAGGGAGGCTCTGTGTTTTTGTTTCAGTGATGTCACGAAGATTAACTCATGGTCAACTAAAGCAGCTTTGCATAGTTGATCTATAAAATCGATCTTAATTCTCATTCTGGCAGGAAGAACCAGGTTTTCTTGGAGTTAGCATTGGTTTATCCCAAATCTCATATTGACGTAGAACACATACTCTTGTCTGTCTGTCTATCTGTCTGTCTGTCTGAACACCAAGCACTACAGGAGTTATAATCGCCCTGAAATCAGTAAGAGTGTTTATGTCCTAGCTCAGTTCACATAGCAATATACAAACAAGGCCATGGCCTTGGACTTTCATTTAAGCAACCTGAAGTGCTCATTATCCATAAAGATGAATGCAGATTAGGTTTTCCACTTCACCCGTAAGTATGCATTGATAAGAATGGGGGAGAGGAATCTATTCTTTTACTTTTCTAGCCACTTAGGCTGGACAGTCAAAGGACATCAAGAGCCAACAAATATGTGCTAAATGATCTTGAGTAGGAGCCCTTGAGTAGGAGCCCTGTAGTCATCATTGCTGTATTTCTTGGATGAAGCCCCAAATACGCTAATGTTTCGGCTAGCTTTACATTCTTTAAACACCTACAAGATTACTGAAGTGAATGTGGACACCTGTCTACCCTTTTTCTGATTTAGTGTGTACCCCAAGGAGCCAGGGTAAATTATTTCAATTTATCATAGTACTATGGCATTATAGAGTGCACCATGTAGTGGGGAGGAGGCAAATATGGATTTCCCCCCCCAGATGCGCTAGCTATCAATAGATATAACCTGTTAAGTGACAGGGAATTACCCAACCTGTACCTTAAGGAAAATAGGTTTCCCCATTACTGAAAAGTATCAATATAATCATCTGAGCTCCAAAACACAATTGTACAAAAAAATGTCTGAACTACCAGTTCATGAAATCGGGACAAACATTATTAGGAAATATTAGCCAGAATATACACAGGAATTGTGTACTCTCTTTTGTATTGCACCTTAATTAGGATCCGCAACAGGTAAAAATAAACCCTTTGAACTGCCTTAATGAGTGCTTGCAAGCCCTGATCTCCTCACATATTTCATGCTCTAGGAATCAGTTTGCACAAAAAGGAGACAAAATGTCCAATAAATTAATAAATAATAAATAAATCTATAGTCAGAAGTATCTAGCGTTCTTTTGAAAGCATTCACTCACCAGACAGAACAAAGACACTCAAATTACCCTATAAAAGATCTTTTGCAAATACAATCTAACGATTCCTAAAATCTGTCCTATACCCAGCTTGCCATTTATACAGTAAAAGAATCATGGTTAGGAGGAAAATTTAATGTGCTGGGCATGGTAACTATTCTTTAAAATAAGAAAGTATTGGAATACCAGCAAAATATTGGAAAGCAAGAGCCAAGATCCACTCCAAACTCCAGTCCTCTCCAAAACCCTGTCATATTCTGGCACTGCAGGATCTGCATTGGAAGCTTTGGCCTTCCATGCTCCTCTGCCTAGTCTCAGAAAAAGGAAATTATACATAACTTCCAGAAGACGAATCAACAGTGCAATCGTGCAAATCCCTACCTTTTTAATACACTGGTTTCTGTAGGACAGGTTTGGGCAACCTTGGGCCTTCCAGATGTCTTGGACATCAATGCCCTCCAGCATAGCCAATGGCAAGGAATTATGGGAACTGCAGTCCAAGCATCTGGAGGCCCAAACATCCCTCACACTTACCATAGGTTTTGCACTCACATGAGTGAATTCCTGTTCCTACCGCACTGGGGAAAGGGGAGTGACAGTGTCACTGTGCAGTAGATTCTAAGGAGGCAAGCTCTACTTTGCTTATGTCAACTATTCTTTTGGGGTGTGTGTGGAAGAACACTGGCAGCTCTGAACAGCTGCCATACTACATTTGGGTCCATGTTTGGTGAACAGGTCAGGGGAAAAAAGAAGCACATTCTTCTGTTTCTGACATGATTCAGACCTGGCAATGCCACAGATTGCAACAGTATATTATTTATTTACTAAATTTAATCTCCCATGACCTCAAACACGACAATTCCTCAGGAAGCCACAGAAATAACATGAAAACACAGTAGTATCAAAGAAAGCACAGAAAAACTGCAGCAGGAATAAAAACTGAAGAATGCATGGCATAAATAAAACTACTTCTCCACCTGTTTAGAAAGTTAAAATGCTGGGGAGTAGTGCAATCCAAACTGAGATCCAGGAATTTCATGGGATACACTTGTAATGGGTCTGGAATGGACAGAAATCTCTTGTATTGGTATCACTGTCCTTGTAATGGCACAGCTTTCTCATGCTGGCTTTCCTCAGATCTTCTGGAACAACTCCCATGCTAGCTGAGAACAACTATCAGAGGAGCCAAAAAGGGTCTGGAGAAGGAGTGTGGCCAGAACTGAGTTAGGCCAGATTAAAACCCTCTCAGCCCAGACTCACAGCCTTTATGCCAGCACAGTGCTAAATAATTTCCAAGATTCCAAGACTGGGAGGTGCTTGAATTCAACACAGCCTCACTTGTCCTACTGTCAACCCAGCCTTCAGCCATCTTGGATAGTGCATATTGCACCCGTCCAAGGTTGCGTTCTGGTGCCAGAAAAAAATATCACCGGGGATGAGCTTCCATTCCTAAAACAGAGTGCCACCTTGACAAGTACGGGGTCAGGCAGATATTTATGGGAGAAAATGATCCAACAGGTACCTGAGTTCATTAAAAGGAGGCAGTGGTACATTCAAATGACTCACAGACTCTACTGGGAGTCAGTAAAAGTGTTCAAAACCAAACAAGGTATGGACCTGTTGCCAAGACTCTGATAGCAGTCAACAACTCTGTTTCGAGTGAACAGCAGTTTTCAAACTGTCCTCAAAAACAATCCCATGTATAACACTGATTTGGTGACCATCCTAATTATGTAAAAGGTCTTTGCATCATCCTGCGGCATCCCATGGCATTTGTAACAGAGCAGGAGAAGCAATCTGAGGCATATATCTAAAACGGCAGATGAATCTCAAGACCTCACAGGAGAGTACTTTATCTTTTCAGGTTGGCTTCTGCCACTTTGGCGAACCTCTTTTATACATTCTGTAAATGAAGGCACCACCTCTTGCACAGCCTTGGGCCTACAACTTTTTTTTTTTACCATAACCACAGGAATTCATATGAAAGCTGCAGATCCACAACTACACATTTCTGTTTCAGTCATATCAATTACAGTACACGTATTTACTCTATGGACCAGAACTATTGCACTGCCCTCTTTCAACCACTATCATCAAGTCCTTTATTTGTGAGTCTGCATGTCTGTATGCATCCAAACAGTAAGTCGATCTAGAAATGGCAACTGGGAGCAGGATTCTCCAGCAAGAGGGTGCCATTTCAAGGAGAACCTCCATGGAAACTCAAATAGGTGGACTGTCTGCCCAATCTCTGAAATGTTACTATAATTTCACCTTGACTTTGGTTTTCAGTTCTTGGACTTACTAGAAAGGATGTACTATGAAAACATAGCTCTCCCAATGCTGGAATTAGGAAGGCAAAGAGGAGAAGGGACTACAAAGCACATGTACATACTTCGGTTACATTTTTCCAAGACTTTTTGCTGTTGATTAACTTCTGATTTCAGGACTGTATTTTCTTCTTTCACTTTATTCACCTGGAAGAAGAGGAGGTAAACAAATAACAGAGACAGTGACCAAAATGAAAACATGTGCAATGCAATCTTATGGATTTCTACTCAAAAGTCCCATGTTCGGAGGGACGGTGCAATCAGACAGCGAGAAATGATTGCATCTAATTGCACTGGAAAGGGGTGCTTTGTCAGGAGCAACCTCATTTAAAGCAATCCATTTGTCTGTTGGGGGACTGCTCCAACCCAACCCCAATAAAGAGTAGACCTGCTGCTGAACCAAGGAGGTCCAACCTGGGCAAAGAGAAGGGTCGGACTGAAGTGCTATTGCCCATGTCCCGTGACTGCTGGGAAATAGCTCAAGCCAAACTGTGCCACAAGCTGCCCAAAATGAAAGTTATGTCCCATGTGATCACATCCTACTTCCCAACATAGGATTGCATCCTTAATGCAAGCAATTTGGCTGCAACTCTGGATAGGGAAAGAGTATCCCACCAATTTCCAATTCAATATGTAAGCTCTCATTTTTCATTAGAAGTTGTACTTCCACACTCCAAATGTGTGAAAGTTATCCAATATGGATAACTGGGACATGCTACTGGTTCTTGCTGACATGCTACTGGTCTGTAGGAAGTCTCTAGATACTATAGATCATTCATCTCCTTGCTAACTTTGGAAGCCAAAGAAAAATTATTGGAACATTTCACATTGATTTCAAGCACAAATTACTTCCCTAATATATTTGCTCAGGATTCTAACCAGCGTTCCAGTGAAACATAACACGTTAATTCAGGAGTGGGGAAAGTGACTGTCTTGCTATTTTAAGAGCACAATCCCTATAAATCCTCACTGTTGGCTATGCTGGCTAGAGCTGATGGGAACTATAGGTCAAAAATATCAAGAGAGCTTTATTTGCACATCTTCGCTTTATTTAACAACACCCAGGAGTTAAGCAATGGCAACATATAGATTGCTACACACAGATCTTCCATACACAGGATAAGCATTATACTTTGTGGAATATGTGAGTAGAGACCAGAGGACTCACTGATATATAGCTAGCAATCTGTCTGCAGTTTTGCTAGGCCTTACATAGGTAAAAAATGCTCCTTTTCAGCTCTGCAAAACAAAAATATTCTTATTTTACTACTAATGCTTTCTCCACTGATTAATTATGGAGGCCAACAAACACTGTTCATGCAAAACAATACTCTGATGTTCATCTTTGAAAATACCTTACTGCAATGTATTTCCTCTCCCAATTTTTAAAGAAATCCCTCTGCACAACCCTGTATGTGACAGAGAATGTACTGGAGGCTGATGTACTGTTTACTGTATCTCTTGCTTAAATGCCAGCAGATAATTACTGAAAAGGACAGAATCAGACTACAGAAAATGCCTCACCCTAATATATTTTTAAAAGCAGCCTAGAATTCTGCTAAAACCAAGCAACATTCAAATTTTTGCCCAGTAAACCACCATAAATTGAGGAGGAGACACCAGGAGTCCATACCACGATCACACCAATCCATTGCTTTCCTGCCACAATACTCACTTCTACAATTGCTTCCACAAATTTGATCTTCAGGTTTTCCAGTTCAATGGCAATGGCCTTCTTTTCCTCTTGAAGAGATATCATTTGATCTCGCAGATCTACATTTTCAAGGGTGGGGTGGGGGGTTCAGTTTTCATGTGAGACCACAAACACAGGCAGGAAGGATAAAAAGAAATATGCTGGCAAAAAAGTGATGAATCTGGCATGAATGCATTCTTAAATTATTAAGAATGCAGATGCCTTACATGCAGATACCATTACAGGTTGCTTTATCATTTACTCTGCCTTGTCTAGTCCTTTGTCTTCATTTGATTTTCATTCTAGAGACATCCTGAACCTTAAAAGCTGACTTCTCTTTTCAGTCTGCCTGAAAAAAGACCTATTCCAAAGGGTCTATTTCTCTATTCAAACTCCCTTGCATCTAGGGAGATTTTCTTGGTTTTTATTCCTCTATGAAAACTATTGCTTCTCATCTTCCAAGTCTGATATTTAGAAATTGGCATATTTCTGAAGCCTGCAATATGTTTCAGAGAAGAAGAAAAAACACAAAGCCAGGAGTACATTTAAAAAATACGCATGACCACATAGGTATGCATGTGAAAAGTGTGCCCAAACATGGTTTGCAGAGAGGCACTGATCTCCATTCTGGAAGGGGAAAACATTCTAGCAATCTAATACAAAACAGGTATAGAACAGTAATGTTGATGGGACTTAGAAAGACCCAACAAAAACAAGGCTGACAGGTTTTCACATGCCTGCAGGTGAAATGCAGGGTTATTACAACAAAGCTCCTACCATCCATCCACATAAGGTCATAAATTACAAACTTATGATCACTGCCTAGAGTGATTCTTGGCCGTCACTAAAAGTAGGCCATATTGCAACAGCTCAAGGTTTTCACATTCACAGAACCACTTAGTGACAACAACAACAACAATCTATTATTTATTTTAAGTGCATATAGATTGCCTTCACAAGCCATAGAGCCCTTTCAAGGTGGTTAACACATTTAACATAAATCCCAATGAACTTATTATAACACCAAATCAGCATGGAAAACTAGAAAGATATGTCATCCGAAAGAAACAATAAACCAAGCAACAATTTAAAAATTATCATTTTAAAAATCTAATCCAATCTGATTCAAATTAATTAAAACTCAATCAAAATCTACAGATCTACTCAGAAATAAGCGGTATTCAACAGGACAACAGTGGAAAAAAAGGAAGTGGGTTTGAAAACAAAGAGGCAAATTTCTGAAAGGTTGTTAAAAAAGGCTTTAACATGATTGTTATCGGTGTTTCGGGCTCTTTGGCCGTGTTCTGACTATTGTTCTTCCTAATGTTTTGCCAATCTCTGTGGCTGGCATCTTCAGAAAACAGGAGTCAGAACTCTGTCTGTGCTCTGGTGCAGTTTGTTTGGATAGTTGATTTAAAATGACTTGAACTGCATCTCAACACAGCATTTGCTGCCAGGAAACATGCCTAATAATTTTCTCTTTGGAACTCTTTCTAAAAATGCATATTTTAAAAAAAATGAAGCTAAATTGCTCAAGTATTGCTATGAAGATCTTTTGTAAAATCAACCTGAAAATAAAGTTATAACAATTAAAGCTATAGATTTATCTGTCTAAATTGGAAATTTACTAGGTCAAAGCTGGCAAACATTCAGAAATTCTGAAAATAACCAACAGAACTTATGCCAAATGTTCTGAGATTCAATGGAACCCTTCAAAGAAGGTATTTTAAATAAATAAGGGTCTCAGGTTCCATCCATCTCCCCCTCCAGTAATTATAGGGGATGATTACAGTGCAGCTTAATATTCTTCATTTGATATTCTTTATTTGTGTTCCTTGTACAGTAAAAGAAAAAAGAACAAAGGGAAGGGGCAGCTACATCCTCAACTCCAGGCCGATGCTCACCTTTTATCACCTGCTGGTACTGCACTGAGTCACACGTACCAGAGCTGCCTTCCACATCTGTAGATGATTCTTCATCATCAATGTTAATTTCTTCAGTAATAATATCTGGCCCCAGTTTTGCCATATACAACATGCTGATTCTTTTCAGGGTCTTGTTTTCCTTGTTCAGCTGCAAACATTTTTTTTTAAAAAAGGAAAAGAAACAGGGTCACTGCTAAAAAATACCTTTACAATATTTGTCTTTCATTTTTTTAAAGGGTCAGTCAAGCTTGGTGGATGAGAATAAGAGAAAGCAGTCAACGCTACACCTGACCTGACTCCATGGCCTCTGCTGTCACCTCTCATGACAAAGCCATGAGAGGTGACAAGCAGGCTTTTCTTGTACTGAATATGTAAGTCTTTATCTGATGCTCTTGTTTTGTCTTTATATGCCCATATTTGTTTTATTAGTCAAAGAAGCACAGGTGGCTCTGTTGATTCAGGAAATCTTGGGAGTTTTAGCCCTGACATGGGATAGTTGCTGGGTTGTTCTTATGTCACCTGCCCACATATGTCCGGCATTGTTCCCTCACGTCTCATTCCCAGCAAAGCTTGCACCCCCTTTGACCATCTCTTCCACTATCTCCACTTCTACTTCCCTCTCTCCTCCTTTCCCTCCTTGTGTTACTGTCCACAGGGCATGGAGAGAGTAGACCGACCAGCAGAAAATTATCCACAAGCAAATGTCATCAAAAGACACAAACTCACAAAATACAAGGATCAAGACTGAGCAACACAGCATTAGGATCCATACAAGCAAACTGAAACACTGTTAAACCCCCTTCACCCTCATCACTGAGCACAAAAGTCTGAAGTGGGCTGTGTAACCACATCGGTCTGAGCTCGGTTCCTATGATTCTTCTGATCAGGAATCCAGACAGAATTAGGTTCCTGGTCAGAGGAGATGTACAGCCATATTAAAGTGATATCTGGAGCAAGGCCTTCAATGCACATCCTAGCACATGCGACTACACTGTGTTTTTGTTTCCTTTAAAACAAAGGACTCAGGAAGAACACGGCCATTTTCCCCAAGAGTTCCTCTTACCATCACATCTTGTACCAAGTCATCTCTATTGGTTAGAATCAAGTCAAGGATGGCCCTTAATGGTTTAAGACCTCATTATCTGTCGGGAGTGTCTCTCCCACAAAAATGCTGTCAATTTTACCCAGTCTTCTGAAGCCTTGCTGTTGCTGTTGGCCATGCCAAGAGACGTATCAACTAAAACTCAGGCCTTCTCATTGGTGGCCCTCACACTTTGGAATGGCCTCCTCTTGGAGATCTTGCAGGCCTTCTCCCTCCAGAGTTTTAAAAAACTGTTGAAACCCACCTTTTTTTAAAGGAAGCTTTAAAATATACAGTATACACCCGCCCTCTCATTTAGTCCTTCCACCAAGTTTCAGTTATCCCTATATTTACCTTCCTGAACTAAGATTTCAAGTTCTTCTTGATTTGTTTTCCATACTCCTAGCATTCATATATACACACACAAGAAATTGTGTGATTTGTAGCCTGCTTTCCTTTGTACATTGTAATGAAACTGTTATTTGGGCTGCTTGCTCATTATAGCTGCTTGCTCGATTTCATAAAGACAGGCTTCACCTATCTTTTCCTATGAGTTTTTCCTTGTCTCCCTCCATCTCCCAATTCAATTTAAAGCTTCTTGTAATGAAATTCTTCATGATGTAGCCAAACACATTTTCCCCACTCCTTGTGAGGTACACCCCATCACTTGCCAGCAATTCATCTTCCAGGAAGCATAGCAAGTGGTCCCAGAATCCAAATCCCTCTCATCAACACCAGAAGACTGTTAAAGAAAACATGTTGATTCCTATTGTTATTCTGAAAGACCATTACTTAGTAGTCAAGTAATAAAACAAAGGGAGCTTTGATATCAGTACATGAGAGAGAGGTAGGACAACCCCCTCCCATCATTCAATCACTATTGGAGATGTAATGCCTATTTGAACCACATGCTTATTTCTTCTCAATGCTATCACTACAGCTAAATGAAAATCTAAGACAGGGCCAGGGAACCTTTGGCCTTCTTGATGCAGTTTGACTGTAATCCCCATCAGTACCAATTAGAAGGCCAATGGCTGTAGATTATGGGATTTGTAGTCCACCAACTGATGGTTCTGATTCTCTGCCTCGATTCTCCAACACACACAAGAAGCAAAAACTGTCATTAATTGAAAATTAATCCATTATAAGCACTGATAATAATATGACATTTTAAATATTCTGAAATGAAGTCACATGGGCTACAGCTCTATGTCCAGAGCTTCAAAAAGTCACTTTTTAAAGATTAGAACTCCCACGATGGCTGGGATATTCTGTGAAAAGGTACCATTTCCAAGCTCTGATGACAATAGAGAACACCCAACAAGGATGGGTAGAATTCAGCCTGGGAGTCGCATATGATCCCCCTAGGGTCCAAATGCCCCCCCAGTGTTCACCATATCCCAGTTAATCCTGTTGTGCTCTCTACAGATGTATTAACAATTCTGCCATGTTTTGGGGCCCACACCCATTCTGTGTTCTTCAACCTGAAATTAAAAAAATATGGGCACTAGAGCTATGGTCTCCAACTTTGGGCCTCCAGATATTCTTGGACTACACCTCCCAGAAGACTTCACCACCGCCTCTCCTGGCCAGGATTTCTGGGACTTGAAGTCCAAGAACATCTGGAAGCCCAAGGTTGGAAACCACTGTAGTAGAGGATGTGATGGGACTTTTTCAGGTTTTTTAAACAGCAGTTTTAAAAGAAAATATATTTTGGTAGTAGGTGGAGTGCAGGAATGTTTGTGGCTTTTCCATGTTGAAAGGTAGATGCTGGCAGCCCTCAAATCTCTGTCAATTGTCCAACCCTAGCATTAAGAAGGAAAAAAAAAGATATTTGCTTGCCCTTGCTGCATTCCATTTTAATTATGCCTTTATTCTTGTTGTTACGGAGATTTGAAATAAAAAAGACACTGGCAGTGAAGGTTATTGAAATTAAGCAACAGGACTCAAGAAGGATGAGTCACAGTGAGCTGAAAGTTAAAAACTTTAGTCCCTAGCCAGTCCCCTGTTTGAAAACTGGTTGGCATCTTGTTTTAAAATTAGATTCCTCTTTAATGTATTTGCGAAGGCTTTCACGGCCGGGATCTAATGGTTGCTGTGGGTTTTTTTGGGCTCTTTGGCCATGTTCTGAACACAGCCAAAGAGCCTGAAAGACTCACAACAACCATTAGATTCCTCTTTACTTTGCTTACTAAATAAAGCTGCACTCAGTCTCTGCATCTCAAAGAACTTATTTTATTTTATCTACAAGGGAAGAAAAGTTTTGTGCAAAGCAGGGCAAGGAGAAAAAGAAAGGGCTGGAAAAATCAATTTTGAAAGGAGGTCAGTGCAACAAGAAACAGAACAGCAAGACTGGTTGCTAGACAATTACCATCAAGCCTATCTGAACACTCTCTGTTCCCTCCATTGGTTCCACTAGGGTTGTTGAAAAGTACACTGACATTAACAGAAGGCTGCTGCTTTAATGTAGGCATCCTTATTCAAGACTGGCAGAGCTAAAAGCTTTGTAAGTACAGACTCACATTTAAATATCCAATAATAATAAAGCAGAAACTCACAATGTTACACTAATCATTTGCATGTCGATGTCAGAATCCTTCAACATGCCCTGTCTCTGTGCTATTTTGCAATTTACAGCTCATTGATCCACTACATACCAAATAATACACATTAGGACATTGTTAACTTCATGGAACTTGGAGTATCAAGCATATTTCCAGTTCTCTAGTTGAGAGGGGAAATGAATATCTTTTTCCTCATTCTTGGCTCCCTCTCTATATTATCTCTTGTTTATGGGCAATAATGATCTCGAAGACTTAAGCCTGATTAATAAATCAGTGCCACATATAAAAGCACTTCAAAATTGTTTGGGGAAAAGTTCTTGGCTTTTTGATCCATGATGGCATTTGTAGAAAAATGTCCACCTTCAGAAGTCCATCTCTACAAATATAAGAAAACATAACGGAAAGTTGGAGGAGTGTTTCAGCCTTTTTAAAATTAGCTAAATGAACAAAACTCTAGATGCAAAGTGCTGGAGAAATTGTTGTGTGTCTGGCTCTTGGCATTGTGGTGCAGTGTTTAACTTGCAGTATGGCAGTCAAGCTACCATTCATTTCCTAAATTCAATCCCAATAGACCCAGGTAGCCTTCTCAAGGTTGACGCAGGTTTCCATCCTTCCAAGGTCTTTGGTACCCAGCACACTTGGGGGGGAGAGATGTGTAGAGTGCATAGTTAAATTGTAAACTGCATAGAAAGTGCTTTAAGCACAATGGTGTAATATATAAGTAGCACATTTTGCTTTACTTTATATGTGGTGGAGTTGCTCAGTAATTTCCCAATTCTGGGTAAAAGTCTTTTTGAAGATGGAAAAGATTATTGAACAACTTGTCCATCTCTTCTCTTCCCTTGGTCTTTTTTCCCATTTGCTTGGATGCCAATAGAAACTTAAAGCACAAACAGCTGATTTTGTGTATATGTTTGGCAGCACACCTTGAAACAGCACACACGTGGAAGTGTGGCAAAAATATGTCACCAAAGAAATGGAGAGTGCAGCTCCGGGCTGCAGCATGGATGGAAAAATCAACACAATGAATTTAAGAAATCTTAAAGCTCATGACTTGTTCTGTATGGTTTCCCTTCACAACTTTTGCAAACAGCCATAATGGTCTATTTTTTTCAGTCCTCCTTCCAACTGATACCCCTCTTTGTACCAAGCTTCTGCTCTGATACATATCAATTATTTCCAGACGTATCTGTTTTGTATCTTCTTATTTGGCAACTTGTTATTTAGACACTTGATGTCTTTTTTTAACAGTCATGATTTTGAGTCATTTTATTTTATCCTATTAACAAACTGGATTTTCTAAAAGTCTAACTACAGTATAAGAAAATGTACTGAAGTTGGACATAGCCAGCTCCACGAGCTATGCAAGATGGAGGGAAGTATAGAAACTTGATAGGAAGAGAGTCTGTAAAGTAAAGGACTGCACATATCTGCCTTTTCACCTTTCATACCCAAAGATTATTTTGTATTTGATAATGCATAAGAATTCAGGGTGCCTATGGGAGGCAGTGGAGGATAGGGGGGCCTGGCGTGCTCTGGTCCATGGGGTCACGAAGAGTCAGACAGGACTAAACAACAACGACATATGTCAGAACATCACCAAAGAGCAAATAATGGGATCGGGGAAGGCCAAAAGCAAAATGTATGAAAAATTTCACACCATTCTTGAGAATGCTAATTATATCACTCCAGGCTACCCTAACTGAGTACTGGATGTTACTGTATCATGAAGCACAGGAAGGATGGTTTATGGGGGTAGGTGGGTGGGGGAAACGTACATAGGACATGGTTCTATCAGCAGCACACATGACTTCAGCCAAGTAACTCCATGAACTCTACTCGACTTCCATCATCTCTGCCCACAGTAAATCCAGCCCAGCAGCACATTGCCAAGAGTGTCAAAAGTTGAGTGCATCAGAAAATCATAGACGTGTAGAGTAATGGAGTTGGAAGGGGCCTATGAGGCCATCAAGTCCAAATCCTTGCTCAGTGCTGGAATCCAAATCAAAGCAGATCTGACAGATCTGTCTAATTATCTCTTTAATGCACCAGCATCAGAGCAAAATAAAACTGACTGTATACTTCCATGCCAAAGGACGGGTCAACATTTAGTTTCAGTTTTTTTAAAAATCAGAATTTACCCACACTTTCAGACACCAGTGGGCTCAGTCTAAACCACTGTCAGGAACACACCCTCATACTCGTCCATGTGTACATATCAATCTTCTCTCCTAGGAGTCAGCTACAGATGAGGACATCCCAGGTTCAAAACTTTGCAATCAGTTATATCTAAGGACTTGGTGAAAGGAATCAGGTGCCCTTTAGGAACTGAGCCCTCTGCTCCAGATGAAAAAGGACAACAGAAGACTGTGTCAGAAGGTCCAGGATGATTGTTGGGAACTAGAACCAAGGAAAGTGAACTGCATATAAGTCTTGTTATTGTTCAACTCCTGCCAAGTTCAATAAAGTGAGTTTTGTTTCAACCTGTTGGACTGATGAATATGGATTTGAGGATGGAAGAAGGGCTAGATGTCTCTGGAGGGAGGTCAGGTGGGGTACCCCCATCTTAGGTCTGAAGCAGGAGACTTAATTATCCTCATCACTGTGTCCTCAATCTCTGACCATGTCCATAGCATGGAGAGAAGTCAGACATACCTCAGAGTAGACCATATCCTTTCCACTGGCAACCAGGGTGGGGAGGTGGAGGTTCAACTAGTGTTTCCTCAGCTTTAGTATCTTAAATCCCAGAAACCCCTCTGTCACAGAAACCAGGTCCCATTGTGGTATACATACAACAACTGTGTTTTACTAGAAGAATATTTATAAACTCACAGTCATTCATTTATTATTGCTATCTGTTTATAGTAAAGTCATGAGAACAGAACAAAGCATTAGGAGAAGTGTCCACAGTTACTACTAGCATAACAACTAGTCACAGTTGGTTCAAAGGATCTGAAAATAGTACCTCACATTTTCAGGGACAAATGGGATTGGGGAGAGTGAAATACTAGTAATTGCTATGAAACATCTGTCTCTGACCAAGACTACGTATCAGTATCACCAGACCTACATGTATCTGTCACTGAGAACCACTGGGCTAAACAACCAAAAGAGAGCCAAAGAGAATTAAGCAGTCAGAAACTGTCTCTGGCAATACTTCAACCCTGTTTGCGGGAGGTTGTATAAAATAGAACCTCCAGGGTTTTGGATGCGAGCATCTGAGATTAAAATGCTCTCTTCCCTTGGGTTCATATCTTGGGATCCTCCTGCCAACTGCTCTCAAACACATAACACTGTCTTTTATTTAGAAGAGATATCACAGAGCAGCTTTCAACATCCGATGCCCATCATTCCCAGCAAGCATGGCCAATGGACATGCGGGGTGGGTGATCTTAGGAGCTGTAATCCAAAATGTCTGGCAGATACCTTGATGGAGAATGTTGCTACAGAGCAACAATCCTGCTGCTCTGCTGGTCTTCCAGTACAAATCCTCAGTAGTAATTTAGGGAAGTGGCAGATTCTTCCAATCACTGTGTGCTGTCAGTTCCCCCTGTGGTTTTATTCTTCCACAGAAAAGTTGAGGAACTTTGCTTAGCTTGGTCACCGTGTATTAAAGGGGTGAGTCAGCTTTGATAGGGCAGCTTAATCAGAATGTGGCAGTCTCTTAGCTGGCAAGAGCATGTCACTACACACAAAAAATGACTTCCATCCCTACAATCATTTTCTTACTTATATGTTGACTGACTATCTTATGAATCCTAATGTAGTATCATTATGCAAACAATTAAGTCAATACCATCAGAAAGTACATTGCTAATGCATCTAAATGAAAAAAAATCCTGCTGGTGGGATTTTTATCACAGTGGAGGAAGTAGTTCGGGAAGCAGAAAAATATGTGCAAATGCACACAGACCAGCCAGCATTGCTAATGAAATTTGGTTTGAAATTGCTACAGTCCATTTGCTGATGATGAAGTGCTTCAGATGTGTTTTTCACAACTGTGCACGCACACACATCTCTCACAAAGAGATAAAAACATTCTTTAATAACAATAATGCACTTCTGATGAGATGGAATATAGAAAATTATACACTTGCTAAATTCATCAACCTAGATGCAATCAACAGAGCAGTGCAGGTCACCTTTTGCTTGCTTCGTGGTCTGCTTTCATAAACAATCACCTGAAATGCAATCCTCTGGCTGACTTTTCCGTTTGATTCAGACACGGAAATGCTCATTATTCTTTCATGTCACAGACACTCAGGGGCATTTCTGAGCTTGTTTATCAGTTAACCCAAAAGAGACAGCTAAAAAGAGGTACACATTCCATGATAAGTATTATAAGCAAAAACAAAATAAATAAAATAAAATAAAAGAACAACAACAAAAAGAGACAAAAACATTGTGGCACCTTAAAGACTAATATGAGCTTTTATGGACAAATCCATTTCCTCAGACATACGAGAAAGAGATATAACATGGCAAATATTTATGAATTTATACAACAACACACATAGATTGAAATACAGAGAGCTTGATTGCTTAATAAGAAAACCAGTGGGTTTTTAACATTGATAAGGTTTTCCACAATCTAAAAAGCTTTAAAGCCCAGATGAACAAATCTATTTTTTCGGTCCGCATATTTTTTATAAAATAAAATCTCTTAACGTCAGCCTTCAGGTTTTTTTGAAACAAAGAAATACTTTAAAAAATGCTATCCTTGATTCAAGCCAATTTGCAAAGGTAAACTTTTCTAAGGCAAATATGGTGCTGTATCTTATTTCATATACAGAAGCCCAATGGACTGGTGGCTTACTCTTTTTTCAGCATTGGCCTATTCAGCCATGAATTCAGCAGGCACTGACTCTGAGGCCATAGGCTTCAGCAGTGAACGGGCTGTGTGAAGAGCCATCACACCTACATATCTGAGACTTCAGTCTGGGCAGGGTTTTGCTCAGCTTGCAGATATGCAATGCAACACTTTGTATAATGATTTGGAAGTAACAGGGACATGGTGGCATTGAGGGTTAAACCGCTGAAGCCTCTAGGCTGCAAGGTCAGAAGACCTGCAGTCGGAAGTTGGAATCCACGCGATGGAGTGAGCCCCCGTCGCTTGTCCCAGCTCCTGCCAACCTAGCAGTTCAAAAGCATGCAAAATGCAAAAATGTGAGTAGATAAATAGGTATCACCTCGGTGGGAAGGTAAACGGCGTTCCCTGTCTAGTCACGCTGGCCACGTGACCATGGAGGATTGTCCACGGACAAAACACTAGCTCTATGGGTTGGAAACAGAGATGAGCACCGCCCCCTAGAGTCGGACATGACTGGACAAATTGTCAAGGGGAACCTTTTCCTTTACCTTGACCTGAAAGAAATCCATTGCAGTTCAATGGAAGTTTCCCACTGAGTACCCAGGAAGAGATTAACTGCAGAATCTGGCACACAATTACTTAGAAGAAAATGTCCTTGCATTGATTCAGCGGAGCACAGCTACAAGTAGGCACAGGATTGCAGCCCCAATCCCCTATGCCAGCCTCATAGGCAAACCAGGTGGTCTGGAAAGGACTGGCACGCTTGTCTTGTAGCCACCCATGATGAAGCAGCCATTTAGAATCCTGAAAAATATTGTGCCTTGACACTTAGCGCTCCGAATAGGGAAAAGTCAAACTTACCTTAGTGGCAAGAGCTTCTGCACTTTCACGACATGTCTTCTCAATTTCAAGGTGGTTCTGTATGCAGCTGACTTCCTCGATAACCATGTGAGAAACTAGAGCATTGAAGGAAAATATGTGATTTGTACAGAGTTTAATATGAGTCAAGCTCTTCTTGTCTTTATTCAGAACTGCCATGATTGTGACTGTGAGTCCTTAAGCTTCCAGTTAAAATGTACAGTCAGTTAGATAGACAGACAATGAATAATAAAAAATTAAAAACTAAACACTAATATACAGTATTTCCATCATCTTCTTATGACTCTTTGCTGTTTTCAGTGGGATTTTCTTCTATGAAAAAAATGCACTGAATTACAGCTTCAATTGTCTAGAGGAAATTATCCAACATTAACATTCCCTCCTGTGCTTCACCTTTCCTAGATATGCATCCTGTTCCTATCTTATTTGCAGGCCTTTCCCTCCCCACCCCACTCTGTCCACTTCTGCACTTTTTTTACACTGCTACAGCACCTTGAAAATTGTTCTTTCTAAATAATCACAAGCCCTGAAATATATCTCATTACTATTTTTCTCTTCATTATATCTCGTTCTTTTTTCTTTGAAAAAAAACACAACAACAACAAACCCCTAAATGAGATGGTTCTAGTTGCCCGGCTGCCTATTGTGGAAAACAATTTCACAGTAGTAATGGACAGTATGTCAAAGGAGCAAATCCTTTTCCTATAGCTGTAGGATAGTCACCATGCCAAAACTTGGAAAAATTACTTTTTTGAGTGACTTGGACTGGGGTGTGTGTGCATCTAATAAGGAATATTTCCAAGCTTTTTCCTATAGCTGTAGAATAGTCATCATGCCAAAACATGGAAAAGTTACTTTTTTGAGTGACTCTGGCTAGGGTGCGCGTGTCTAATAGGGAATATTTCAAGCCATGCACAATACTTTTTTTCTGTACTTCTGTTGTCCAAACATGGCATATAGATGATATTGTTTAAAGTGTACCCTGTCAGTGATGATGGGATGTCAGAGAGGACAGGTGTTTTCTTAGTACATTGAATCCTGGCCCCTTCAAGCCATCACAGGTGAAAAAAGTAGTGTGTAGAGCTGTGCCTTGAATACACAAGGAGACCAGTGGCATTCTCTCTCTTTCTCTTGCTTGACGTAATTGCTGTTTATGTTTTGAGTCCTGTCAGCATCTGGCACTGTACCACAATAGGAATGGAAGCAAAGAGTCTTAACACAAGCAAATGCACACAGACCCTGCACGATACTAGATGCCCTGCAAGAGACTCATGGCAGAAATGTTTAATGCAGACAAATTAAAATGCAGAGCTGCTCCAGGATATTCTCCCGCATATAATCAAATACCATAGAAGGAAAAATGTCTGCTCAGGTTCTTGTACCTTAAGAACTTATTTCCTATTAGGTCAGCCTAGGCCACCCGTTTTTAAATGTGTGTCACAAGCCAGGAATAAGCACTGCGTCCATGCAGAGATACCGCTGAAAAATGGAATGAGTCAAGGAAAACATCAAGAAATAAATGCCTCCAGTCATTTGTTCCACACATTGCAGAAGGACCATCACCATTAATGTCCAGCCAATCTCCAGCTGCCCACAATTCCATACATACATACTTGCTTGGCAGTAAGCTCCAGACTACTCAGTGAGACGTACTCTTTAAGAACAGGACTGGACAGAATGAAAAGCAATATTCACTGTCCTAAAAATCTCACAATCAGTCAAGGCCAGAAAGCAAAACATACTGGTTGATTCTCCCCCCCCCCCCAAAAAAAAAAAAAAAATTTTCTCCCCTTACCCACTGTTTTCGGCCATGCTTGTGTGACCTTTTTGTCTCTTTAAGAGAAAGGGAAAGAGAGAATGCGACAGAATATACATAAGGTGTTTTACATATAAAGTATAGATACAGACAGACAAATCTGAACTGTGGTCTGCTATTCTTTTTGGACACTGACATCACCTACATATGCACAGTTGATGTATGCACAGTTGATATACAGAAACACAGTTAAAAGAAAAAGCATCAATCACTGATGTGGTGGGAGTTCCTCAACTTTGGGAGGTTATGATTTATGGCCACAAGTGCCAACCCGAACTGTTACCTTTTCAACCATATATTTTTTTTAAAAAATGGCCTAAAAAGTGGACACAAAAGGAGACAGCAAATGCCGATGCTGACTTATTAACTTGTGGCCAATTGCCACTGAAATTTATGTAACTGAGTTATGGGTTGGGTGAAACTAATAGGATTCTGGCCAGTGTAGCTTAGTTATTTGCTATTGCACAAAGGAATTATTCATCAGTAATTTTTTATTTGTAACTACGTAGTTACTGCCAAGCTCCCTTTCTGGCATCTGTCAAGCATAAACAAAAAGTCACTGCAAGACACTTGTTTTTAATTTTAAAAATTCTGTATTTTATAAAGCTATCTATGATCATTCTGAGAAATAAACAGGTCCCCTTTATATTAAATGGGAGGGAGAGAAAATTAAGTAGATTTTTCATGTGCAATACTGTACTAAGTCTTTTCTTTTCTTTTTTTAAAAAGACCTGTCTTGCTAGAAATAACTCATGGTTCATTTAAGATTGGTTAACCTGCAATTATGATTAAATTCCAAAGGTTAAAAAAAATCTGAAAAATTAAATCCAAAAATATATATTACTTCCTAAGACTGCCCAAAGTTCTTATTATGCTGATATTAAAATTCATAAAGCAGTACTAAGTGGACAGAAACCTCTCCAACCTCGACATTTTTTCAGGGGTAATAATAATATGCAGCAAATGCAGGCCAACCAAAACCCACTTAACTAATTAGTAGTTGCAGTCACCGAGAAAACATGAATCAACACTGTTATTACAAGTGGCACATTTGAGTGGCATCTAATTATGACTTGATGAGCGTGATACTTGCATTATCAACATTACTACCGCATCCCATCGGGGACTAAAAGCTGCTGATGGCATTGACTGCAAGAAACTCCCACTCAATGATACTGCAGCACCCAACAATCTCCTTGGCAGGGGCACCCTCACTAAATGACACGTTAAGCGTAATTACTTGCCGACATTGTAAATAAACAGGATTGGAAGTGAAAATTGTACCAAGTGCACAAGACACAATCTGACACATTGGAAGTGGCAGCCTTAATTGAGAGTTTCTTTGACTGCTCAAGATCATTTCAACTGCATTTCTCGGAGGACAGTGATTATAACTGTGGAGACAGACGGCATAATGGTATCAGCACTGCTGACAGAGCAGTGAATTAAATTGTATCTGCTGTTGTGTGAAAGCCTTGATGAGAAGTACAGATCCTTAGTGGTCTTATCATTATCACACAATGGTCATGTTGTCATCAACCTTTCTGGCTCCAATTGAAAAGAAATGATTGTGTGTTGAAGCTTCCCCCCCCCCACACCACCACCTTCTATCTCTTGTGCTGAATAGAACCAATTTTCAGAGAGCAATGAAATCACGCTATAGGGCCTAAAATGCAGCTGCCTGGCATACAAACTGGGCCCCATTAAACAGGAATCACGCACAATATGTGTTTATGCCGGGAGAACAAATAGAAGCTGAGCGCAGGCCAAGTTTATTCACAGGCACAAAGCCCGTGTAGCTCTTCATCAATATAATTGCCTTTTATATTGTCGTTTAAATAATGGGCTCCGTTATTGCTGCAAAATCCTAATATTCTTGGTATTTTATCACTGTGTTTACAAGGTATGTCTTTTTTTTCCAAAAGGGGAAAAGATGTTGAAAGGGAAGATAAAGGAAACCTACAACATTTTACCAGAGGAAATATTACTTTTGAATTTTAAGATTTAACTACTTGACATTTTCAGTCTCTTGAGTTCCTCGTATCATAACACAAACACAAATAGGGCACAAGGTGTAGATGTGAGCGTACATGAGTTATTCTTTCCTTTTCTGTCTTTGCAAGAATTTTACTTATAAGAATTTTTTTTGCCATATATAGGGTGATGCCGCCTGAGTATTTCAAAGCAGCCAAAAACCACAATTATTTAATGGGGGTGGGATATCATAACTACATTTGTGTAAATTTCTTTACTAACTATGTATTAGGTGCAGGGATCTTGCTGGGCTTTTTAACCTTCCATTACCAATACTCCAACAAAACACGCTATAGTGACAGGGACCTAACATAACAGGCTGTGATACTGTTGTCCTCTCCTCTCTTGAGAAGCTATTCATGGGAGCCTTTCCACTCCCATTAGCCGTGCTTTGTTACCTCCAGACACCACACTGAATCAATAGAACCATTATTGGACAAGAGGAAAAGTAGATGTTTGGTAGAGAGGGGGTGAGTTGTTAGCATATTTATTCGTTGTGCCAATTGAAGACATTGTTATATTGACTTTAAATTTGGTTATATGAACTACTTTAATGTCTCCCGTGACAAGACAATCCGATACTAAGGCTATGAGGAGATGTGGGCCTTGTACAATAAATGAAGAGAACTTTTCTACTCCTATCCTCACCAGATAAGATGTGTTTGTTGTGCTGTTTACCTTGGCACTTGCCAGTTTGTAATACTAGACAATTCAGTTTCCTTTGGACTTTAACCACTTCTTAAGGCAAACTGTCCAGGTTTTTAAACTAACTTCATAATGTATTCATATTTTATGTTTGTGTTTTTGATTTCACATGTCTGGAAATAGTAACACAACAAGCAGTATACAAATACTATATGCACAAATATAAAATACGTAATACTGATAAGGTGGGTAGATCAACCCCTCCTCCCTGATTTCTTATCGCTCTCACACATCCGAGGTAGTTTAAAGCAGTGGTTCTTAACGTGGGCAATAATGCCCCCCAGGGGGTGATTTCATTTTTCAGGGGGGTAGACCAACCCTTCCTCCCTGACTTCTTATCGCTCTCACACATCCGAGGTAGTCTAAAGAAAAGAGCTATCCTCTTATTTGGTGAGGTGTAAGTGGCCACTCTATCCCCCCATAAGCTTCCCTGGCCAGGCAAGGAAAGTAGAGGCTTTGATCAGTAAATGTATCTAATCACCGGTTTCTCATTTATTAAGCAAAATGTTTCCAGGCCATGCTGGTGGTGGATTTCATTCAATAAAAAGATTTAAATCATACACACTGACATAACTGCTGGTGAATGGCAAGAAGGATGTGGCACAGCATGTCAGTTCTATATGAAATTCAGATGTGAAATTAGCCCCGGGAGTGGATGTTCTGAAAGCACCACTCAGTCCATTCATCTGAAACAACAGATTGTTGCTGTGGCACGCCCCTCACATGTCCTCAGGTTATTTCACTAGCCTGAGGTCCACAAAACGTTCTCTCCTTTCTGCTGTCACCAGTTGACCTCAGTCAACACCCTTTAATTAGAAAGATTGAGGTCCAAGTTGCATATAAAGTTGAACAACACAGGTTTATTGATTACAGTTTGCTTAAACAGGTTCTTCACAGAATTTAATGTATTCAGTAGTTTAGTAATAACTTGTTTCACTCTTAACTCTCTTAACTCTCTATAAGTTATACACTCTTAACTCCTAACTCTGCCACACTCTCTAACTACCCCAGACTAACTTCTTCTTCAGACTCTCATCTCTGACTCTCACTGACTGAACTCCCCAGACTTTGACTCACCCTTCCCTTCTAGTTTCTCTGGCTCTATCTCCCTACAGCTCCCATTGGTACATGCAAATAATCTTCTACATGAAACAGAGCAGGGTGATCACCACAGTTGCCTAGCTAGATATTGTAAGAAAACTATAGTGACCTCCATTTATTTTTCTTTCTGAGCATGCATGCACATATGCACACACACACGCACACACACATTTTTAGTAAGCTGCAGAAAAGATAAGGCACAGTGCATTTCAGAGTTACTAAACACTATGCCATATTTATTTAATTTCTATCCCATTTATCCTATTTGTATCTACATGTTGTGTCCTTAGCTAGTTACCTAGTCACAATCTTGTGCAATATGATGACTAGTACAGTAGTATATTTCCACTTAAGTTGTAATGATATTTGCATACATTAGTTTAAATTACCATATACAAATTTAATGCAAAATAACTGCCTTTTTTGTGAAATACGCCCTCCTTTTTTGTGTTCCTTGTCCTCTATGTCCTCCTTTTTTGTCAATGGAGCAGTAACACCCCACACTGGGGATATTATGATCATACAATTCAATCAGAATTCTATTTAGAGTTTGTAAAAAGAAATATGCACAATTTATCAAGAGTCCTTTACAAATATTGCATTTTAATTTTCTTCATAAGACAAGGCATTTCACCAACTGACCAATGAAAAAGCATAATATACCAAGCACCATACTTGTATATTACTAGTAGGACAAAACCCAAAGGGGACAAAATGATCCTGAACCCCTAGCATGTGTGCCTAATCTGGAAGATCATACAACAGAATCTGGATGGTCAAAAGCTCCCCACAGAATTCATCCACCTCAAAAGTCCCTCCCCTTCCCCAAAACTCCCTCCCCATCCCAGAAGAAGAGGAATCCTTGCTGAAATAGGAACTAAGACACTTCTATACTTCCAATGGAATCCCTGCTGTTATCGCCAATCTCTGATCAGCGAGCAGAGATGTCTTGACCAGGACTCAGCTGGTATCTGTACATGTGGACTGATAACATATCACTCCACACACTATTTCCCCAAGAGGAGAAAGGGGAAGAGAATGGCATCTGCTCTGAATCAGCACTCCTAGGAAGCTCATAGAAGTGCCGGCTCAGAGCTGCTCATTGCTTTGTTTTCCACCATTCTTGCTGTGGCCATGAGGGATAGGAAGCAGAAAGAAAAGCTGGTTCCTGGAAAAAAAATCTTGATTAATGTCTGAAGCAAAACAATATTTTTGGCCACAGACCTGATGTCAGACGCCATAGCAATAACCCAATGCCAGGGTATGGCCATGACCCCTGACATCCAGTGGCCTACAAAGGACTTGGGGTAAAGGAATCCAACATTCCCTCTAATTTTACTCCCCCATAAGACCACCTTCTTGGTCTAACCAACAAACCGTGTTTTTGAAATAAATTGTAAAAATTGAGAAATTCTATTAAAAGATTAACCCTGAAAAGAGATGAGGATAGACAGAACTTGTCGAAAGACCATTCCTCAAATTTTAACCATTTATAAATGAGCCATTTTAGAGCCTTCCTAACTTGAAATCAGCCCAAGTTGTTCTTGGCCTGTCCTATCCTGCACGGGCAAGATTTAGAATAATTCATTGAACCTTCTAAGAATAAATAGTGCCTCATTCTCATTTTGGATTATATAGATAGAAGAAGGAGAAAATGGAACAGATCTTGAAGATCCTGAAGAGAATCAAATCCATCCATGCATTCTGAAGATTGTGTCATGATTAAAACTTAGTGGGGGGCAAAGATGGAGCCAGAAATGTCAGTCCTGCCCCTATGTCCCTCTGTGTACTGAACTGTGCTTTTATTCTGTGACCTCACATCAAGCAGTGAGATCTGACAGGAAAGTTCATGTGGAGTTTTCTACTTGCATTCAGTTTAACATGAAGAGTGTCTCCAGATTCCCCTGCTCAACATTTGATGGTCAGGGAAAAGGCAGTGGGGGAATCTCCAAAAGCAGTTTGTTACCATTAGCTTACTGTTATTGAAAGCAATGCTTCATATCATATTTATTTTCAGAATGCAATACTAACTGTCTCACATGGCCTATCGCCAGCTGAGTCAATACTAGACCAGCTAACGCTGGGCTGAATCCAAGCCTCTCCCTTCCTAGTGATATTGGAAATTGCTTAGAACTACAATCTCCCTGATTGAGAACTACAATCTCAGAACTATGGCTGGGTTCTTCAGTTTGAGAAGGTTTGGATCAGATATAAGAACACACAGCACACTATGAGCCGCCATTTGAACCCTGTGAAATTGGTCCTGCGCCATTTAGTGAGGCCCCTACACTGTAACAACAAAGGCAGTTACAGCTGACTGCAAAATGAGTGACATTATTCATTCTTAAGTTATAAATGTAAAAGTATTACAGTTATAGCTTCAATGTCAGGAAAAGGAATTTGTTGCATGTAACTATTTACAAGTAATTTTATGTGGGACTGCCTTTAAGGATGAAATGGATGCTGAAGAAAGGGCAATATGGAGCAGCTAAACTGCTGTCAGGAACAACATGCACAATGGTTCTGACAGTCTTGCATTGACTACCAATATACTTTCATGTGACTCTTGTTTTGGGGACAACTGCTGAACGAGAGCCTCTATATAGAGATGGGTGCGAGTCAAACTACAAACCAGGCTAGTTTGTGGTTCAGTTCGTTGTTCAATTGATGCAACCCATTTTGTCAAAATGAAACAAAGCACCCAACTTTTTTCTACCCAGGACTACATTTTGCTTTAGCAAATGGCTGCCCGCCTACCCCCTTCCTGCTGCCCCTATTGCCTCCCTACCTGGTCCTGCTGCCTCCGCCTCCTCCTCCTCCACCACCACCACCACCAGTGCCACCACCATCTTCAGAGACAGCCGGCCTGGCTTCCTTTCCAGCTGCTGAGCCTGCTCTCTCTGCAAGTGTGCATGCTGATCTGACTTGGTTTTCAAACCTTCAGTTTGCTGGGGATGTGTGGCCTTTGAAAAGCTATGTTTTTAAAAGAGTGGTACAGTATTTTAGAATGTTTTAGATGCTTTTAATTTGATTTTCTTAGTGGTACCCTATTCTGAGATCTGTTGATATAGGTCAGGCTAAAAACACTATATGTGTGCATGCATAAATTCATGGGTTGACAGACAGACCGGTTTAAACACTGCAATACTCATTAAAACATGGCCATTCAAAAGTCACACACCTCCAGCAAAGGCCAAAAACCATTCTTGCCCAGCTTCTCCTTTTGCACATACAAGACTATGTCATACAAGGTATTAAGAGAAGAGTTAATTGGTTTTTGCCCCATTTAGTCCCTCAGTCCATAATCCTTATTACCTTTTTAAAAACCTACTCACCTTTCTGCAGCTCTTCCAGCTGTTTGACCGCTTCATCTCTCTCCTGTTTAATTTTGTTGCACTGTGGAAAGATAAAATAACAGTTCCACATTTTTTTTTAAAAAATGAAAAACATTTTTACATGGTCAATAAGCACAACAAATATACCTATACAGTGGTGGCTTGCTTAATGATTACCTCAAATCCGCTTTACGATGGGTTTTTTGCAATCGCTATTGCGATTGCAAAATGATGTTCCTATGGAGAAAAATCACTTTACGATGATCGGTTCCCTGCTTCAGGAACCGATTCTTCACATTACGACGATCTAAAAACAGCTGATCGTCGGGTTTCAAAATGGCTCCCTGCTGTGCAAAATGGCTCCCCGCTGTGTTAAGGACAGATTCCTCACTATACAGGCACCAGAAAATGGCTGCCCTATGGAGGATCTTCACTGCACAATGAGGTATTTTCCCCATTGGAACGCATTGAATGATTTTCAATGCATTTCAATGGGTTTTTTAATTTCGCTTGACGACGATTTCTCTTAACAGCAATTTTAACGGAACGCATTATCGTCCTCAAGCGAGGCACCACTGTATATGTTTATATATGTGAAGTTTGGTTAAAGAAAAGTAATTCAGACTAAGTGTTTAAGGATTTCAATAGGCAACTGGAACCCAATACCTGCTTTTACTTTCTAAATGGCATTCCAAAAAGCACTCATGTTAAAAATTCAAAATTCATTAGAAGAATATTACGAAATGGACCTGCTAATTTAAATATGTTGCATGCTCATTTATTTAACTTTCAGTTATCTTTGCTTGTAGCCATACTGAATCTTATTATTTTGTTGTTGTTGTTTAAAACTAGAGAAACACACTGCAAATTTTGAGAAACTTTAACGACTAAAGCTACAGAGGTTGAATGTAAGTGTTGATTTTGTAGTTTTAGTAATCATGCTTCAAAGGAATCCCATGCTTCTATCTAGAACACCAGTCACAAAACAAAGTATTTTGCACATAACGGAAGGTAAGAAAAGCTCCTGCTTTTCACTCAGACACTTGCAGCAGTTAAGGAATGTCCTCTTCCAACAACAGATAATCTCTAATGCCTGTTTCTGCTTTCAGTTTGGGAGAAGGAATGAAATGGTTGCCACACTACCTTTTTCCGTCCCTCACAAAAAACGTTACAGTCCAGGCCTGCTATTACGTATTTAAAAAAAAAAAAAACCTTGAAGGGAAATTGTGATTCAGCTGTCCCTTTTCTCCTCATCTCAGGTTACTCAAAATCACAATACCTTTTCCTCACACCCACCTTAACATGACTTCATCCTGCTATTATTCAATGACACATCAGTGTCATCCAGAAACTAAATGAACGATGAATCACTTGTCCCAGGGCACCTTGCCTTTTATTTCAATTCAGTTCAGCATTTGACTGATTGCCTAAACAGGTGCTCAAATTAGAGAGTGAACGTCTGTCTTTGCCTTCCCTGTGCACATGTGGAGGAGAAAGGACATCCACAGTGAGAATGGGTCTCTTCTCCTCCTTCTGCTCAATAATACGTGTGATCATCATCATCACTATCACCAACACCATAATCATTGTTACTCTACTGCTATAGCACCGTAGATATAACGGAGGCTTTCAAACAGAAAGAAGAGAGCAAGCGGAGATACAGAGATGAGGAGGCATGGAAACAAGGAAACTAATGTCACCATTTCATTTCAGGAGGTGTAAATCCAATACGAATCTTACTGAGAATAGAGTAAACCATCACTAAAATAAATGGGGCTTGTTAGCCACAGATAACTTGAGACCTATTGCTTTCGATGGGTCAGCTTTAGGTATTTGATTCTGCTCAGTTGCCTTGGTGAATGCAGATGTTGCAGTCGAGGGGCGGATAGCTGGTGTGAATATCTTCTCACTTGATTATTCAGTAAATTATACAAAAAAGAAAACAACTGTTTAAAGTAAAGTAAGCTTAAATATCAGAATCTGCTGGATAGCTCAATGGTTTAGGTATCTGTCCTCACTTCCAATCAGAACCTCCCATATAACTTCTTCAAACTTCTGAGCAGTGATAGGAGAATGCTGAATTGATATAGGGCAGTGATACTGATAGATGGGTGGGGGGGGACTTCAAAACTACGTCAGTCAAATCACTGTACAACTCTCTACCACCACATGGCAAATTGCAGCTTTCCTGGGGAATTGAGATTTCAAAAGAAATACCAGAAAATGGCTATCCTCTTGTCCTAAAGGCTACTACAGTATTTCAGTTTGACTGAGCTGTCTAAGTCTCAGAAACAGAGGAAGATCCTCCTCAGAGATCACCCAAATCTTGCCTGTTTCAGACCTGAAAGCTTATCATGCCATTCTTATCCCCTCGATAACTATCGCAAAGACTTGTCTGGAAGCATTTAACTACAAATTCAACCTGCTAAAAGTCCAAATGTACTGACATTTCAGAATTGCTGCCTGCATGCTTGTTTATAAAAAACAGGACAGAATGAGAACCATCTGTAGGAGATGCTGGAATTAAAACATCTCATGCAAAAACCAAGTAAAACTTGCATGACAATGGATTGTTTACCATAGTGTGCTTTTTTTTAAAAAAAATCTTTGTATCCTAGAATAGAAATGAATGGCCGATGCCATCAAATCCAGATCTGCCAGCTGCCTTACCTCCAGGATAGCATTCTTTCCTCAGTCTTAAATGAGACACAGGAAAACATCCACACAAAGCCAAATCTTTCTGAACATGGGAGGAAAATGTATCCAGTATATTCATGTCAATTATTCAAATTGATCAGCCTCAGAGGCTTGAATGTGGACACTTTACTGCAGATCAATAGTGTGCTATATTTATTTAATGGAAAGAAGACTGTTTTTTAAAAATTAAGCTGTACAGCTTCTAGTATCAACAGAAATCAATGATTCTTGTTCACAATAGGCCTCATCACAGCAAACATGCAAACAAATACATACAGAGAGAGTCAGTTTAAAAGGCTAGATTAGATATAATTATTATTTATTCTGTCTCTGTTAGAATTTGGCTCAGTATAGTTTTTAATGTCACTAATCCCTATAATGTCACTGAAGCATTATTAATGCATAACAGATGTTTAACATTAATTGTAAGGAATGTAGGTTGCTATAAAGTTCGCTATATGCTGATGACCGAGATGACTGACATTATAGAGTCACAGACTTGATACTACTGTTAGGAGAAGAGCCACTGTCCCTTTAAGGATGTCTAGCACTTTTCTGCCCTGTTGATGCCTATATATGTACCTAACAAATCACTGTGACTGTGTCCAATTTTTACATATGCCAATAAAGCTTCTATCTATCTATCTATCTATCTATCTATCTATCTACCTACCTACCTACCTACCTACCTACCTACCTACCTACCTACCTACCTACCTACCTACCTACCTACCTACCTACCTACCTACCTACCTACCTACCTACCTACCTACCTACCTACCTACCTACCTACCGTGGTGCCCCGCATAACAAGGGCCCCGTTTAATGACGAATCCGCATAGCAATGTGTTTTTTGCGATCGCAAAAGCAATTGCATTGCGATGTTTTAAATGGCTAAAAATCGCTGTGCGATGACGCTTACCGATTTTCGCATTGTGATGTTTAGAAAACAGCTGATCGGCGGTTCCAAAATGGCCGTTGGGTAAATAAAATGGCCGCCCACTGTGTTTTTGCACTCTTTCCTCGCTTACCGGGCAGCAAAAATGGTGGCCGCATGGAGGATTTCCGCATAGCGGGGAGTTTTTTCCCCACAGAAACACATTAAATGTGTTTTAATGCATTCCTATGGGTTTCTTTATCCCGCATAGCGACGAATCCGGATAGCGACGATTTTTTCGGAATGGATTATCGTCGCTATGCGGGGCACCACTCTATCTATCTATCTATCTATCTATCTATCTATCTATCTATCTATCTATCTATCTATCTATCTATCTATCTATTTATAACGTTACTTTCAGAGAGAATAATGAGGGTGTAACAAAGTTACACATCATATCTAACATAATAATTAGGTACACAATTGTTTTTGGGTATAATGATTAACATTTTGTTTTTTTGTATAATGATTAACACTTTGTAACTACTTCCAAATGTTATTTTTAATGAGAATTTTAAAGTACCATTAGTGGCATTCCGACAGGAATTTTTCAAGTTTTATATGTTCTCTTACTAACTTTAAGTGGGAACTTAAGTATTTTTTTGTTCTGTCATTTCTGCATGTGTATTTTCAAGGTACAGTGCCATAACTGGTTACTAAATCGATCTGAGGAGTGTCTACATATTTTTAATAATATTTGTTAATAACATTAAAAAAAGCAGACCACAATATGCTACTTCTGTGAACACAGTAATAATTTTTAATGTGATTCCCCCAAAAACTTAAGCACCACAAAAATATTCTTTTTAAAATAATGTTCTCTCATTCCCCTCAGCCCAAGTGTGTTTGATGACAACAGTTATGATGTGTGGCCTAAAAAGGAGATATCTATGCTGGACAGGGAAAGTGAGGGTAAGACTATACAGCACTGTATCGCCCATCCATTTCCTTAATCATGAGGCCACAGGTAGTACAACAGAAATCTTTAAAAAGGGAGCACAATTTGGAATTTGGAGTTCCAAATATTTCAAAATCTGCTTTTAGCTGTGCATTGTGTTAGAATCATGACCCAACTGCCTTATATCCAATTTGCCCAGATTGTGAATGGGGAACGGTTGTGACAACTACACCCTTTTAGTTCCCAAACTTATCAAGTTTAATGCACCCTTCAGATTATGAGAGATCCAACAGAGGCCTACACATTTTTATTGCAAAGTAAAATTGAGTAAAAGGTCTGGCGCTGTAATCCCAAGAATTCCCGAGAGAGCATGGCCAGTGGAGCCAGCATTTGCTTGGGATCTCATGCAATCTCCTGCTTGCTGCAGCATCAGCGAGTTCGCTTTGTCTAATTCAACAGGGCTTCTGCTCACACAAGGAAGCAGTAAAATGAGCAAGCCCTAAAAAAGCTCAGTGACTTATACAAT